TCTTCCTAATTAACATGGTTGCACAATATACGGTTCTGGATTTGATCAGGCCTGCAAAAACAAAGCCCAGTAAATCTGTATGAAATCCACAGGTATATTATACTTTTGCACTTGGAAATTGTTCATGGGGAAAAAACATACCACACAGGAACAAAGTAACATTACAAATCACAAGTTCTAACTTCCACGAAAAAAAAAATTAAAACTTGCAGAATTTACTAGTGAAATAGAAGCCCTTTTTTCTTGAGACCAAAACAGTATATTCAGTCGAGTATGTGCTTAATCAACTCCTCCCCCCCAATCCACTTTAATTCCAAGCAGAGAAGAAACAGAATCTGTCACTGCTGATTTAATGACTAATGATATTTCCAAATTTCCGTAAGAAAAAAACATTAAAGCAAAAAACAAATCATGGACCTTAGAATAACATGGAATAAAATGCCTCTTTTTGCCTTCAACTTAGAATGTTTATGAGGAATAGATATTTTGATCTTGGAAATTTGTAATAAATAAATGAAACTTCCATGAATGGTATAAAAGAAACCTACTTTCTGGTGAGGCTTGATAACGAACAACAGTTTTTCGCTGCCGGAGATCATAGCGCTTTTGGTTTTCTTCTCCATCTTCATCTTCATGGTCCTCAACTTCTTCTGAGGATTCTACTTAAAATAAATTGTTCTAACTTTAATAAAGGTTCTGAACCTATAACAAATTTTACAATTGCTCTATGTAATTTTATTACCTATTTCGGCTAGGAACATACACATTATCAGTTTTATTTTTTCATTACAAAATTCAGCTTTCAATGCCCAAACCAAACCAGATCCAATTTGAAGCTATCTCAAAGCTTTAATAAAGATCTGAAGGAAACAGAGATAATCTCAAACTTTGGAAGAAGGTAGTAGCAAACACCTTTGAAAATATTGCCCCTACCACTGAAAAAACCCACCCCAACAACTGTAAGGACCTGGTCCAGGCAGTTTTCAACAGTCAAGACTGACTTGAAAACAGGTGTAATTACACATATGCAAAAATGAAATATAGTAAGAAGAGTTTTAGCAAATCCTGCGAGAGGATCACCAGGGGTTAGCCTAAAAACTCTAGATCAGGGGTAGGCAACCTTGGCTCTTTTATGACTCATGGACTTCAACTCCCAGAATTCCTCAGCTTGGCTGGCTCAGGAATTCTGGGAGTTGAAGTCCACGAGTCATAAAAGAGCCAAGGTTGCCTACCCCTGATCTAGATAATCAATTCGTAAAAGCAGATGTTAATGGCTGGACCAAGACCTAGTCTATTTAGATATTCCTACAGAAGCTAACCAAACATTTCTCAGAAGTTTCTACCAAAATATCTTTCATTCAGTTACCCATAAGTATATCCTTCCCTCTTTACCCACACTTCAAATTTTCATATATAGCAGCATAGTAAAAGCGGCACAATAACCTGCACTTCCATCCTGATTGTCAGAGGTTTCTTCATCAGTCCTTTGGATAGGTGGTTTCCCTCTGGAGTACATATCAAGGTTTCCCTGGAAATAGCACAAAAGCTCGCTCAAGTAATCCGCCACTACATGATGCTTCTATGTCCATTTCAATAGATACAGTAAATGGAATCAGAATATTGGACTGTGCACATCTGCTGAAAAAGATGCTTCATAATGTATAGATCAGTGGTGGTAAACCTATGGCACGGGTGCCAGAGGCACCACTCAGACCCTCTCTGTGGGTATGCGCGCCGTCGCCCCAGTCCTAGGCCTTCAGCTGAGTTTTATAAAACCTTTTCGCTTTAGGCCTCTGCCGCAGTGTGCAAAAAAAAAAAAAAAAGTTCAGTCAATTTCAATTTCTTGCGGGAAAAAAAAAGATCTTACAAAGTTGGAATTGATTGATTGAACTTTTTAGTCCCATCCAGTCTGCTGTTACCACCACAGCCACGCCCACCCAATGGGCCACGCCCACCCGGCACTCGACGATGCATAAGTGGGTTTTGGGTTGCAGTTTGGGCACTCAGTCTCTAAAAGGTTCGCCATCACTGGTATAGAAGGCACACCTTTCTCATCTGTATTGTCTCACACAACTGCTTTTGAAACCACTACTGGTTGCCCGCACATGTGCTTGGCCCTTGTCCTGATCTAGTTTGAGGATGCAGAGACAGCTCACAGCCAATTCCATGGCCTTACAAATAGCACTTCTGGTTTAATGATTTGGGGGGGGGGGGAGAGAGAAATCTCCTGTTGTTATAAAGCATACCTTAGAATTACTTAGAATTTGTTCGGGTTATGTTCAAACTATCAAAGCAAAAGCAATAAAAAATATTGGTGCCTCCACAATGAATGTATACTTACTCCTTTTCTACCATTGAACACCCCAAGATCTTCCATCATTCGTCTACGGCGCATCTTCTTCATATCGTCCATTTTTTGTAGTACAGCTTCTGCAGTACTGACAAAAGTATGCAACAAATAATTAAGCAAAATAATATTAACGAAGAATCAATTAAACAAAAGAATGCCACAATACCGTATCTTCCGTTCATAGTAAGCTAGAACTATTAATAAATGCAGATCCAATCCTGCGTATATCAACAGACAAGCAATAATGCCCCAAAGAAATCATGTTTCTTTGTTCATTTGTATGTTGCCCATTACAGAAGGTCTGCCCCTTCTCCTTACTCTTGGAGCTCCTTCTATTATATCATAACAAAACAAAACAAATACAAATACAAAATTTCCTACCATTTTGGAGTGAAAAAAGAAAAGCTAGAATTGTAGCATAGGTGTTTGTAATATTTTCCAAAAGGGGTATATTTGGAATTTTGAGAGTATGTGGTAGTACTCTCAGAATGATTATTAAGGCGGGTATGGTTAGTCATAAACACTCATTTACCAGAAAATAAATAATGTGGATCTGCAAAACACAGGGACATTCTAAAGCCACTCTGAACTCAGTTCAAAAAAGTGCCAAACTACTCCCAGAAAAGCATAATCAGTAGATAATGGGAGAATATTCCAGAGTTATCCAGAATATTCCATGCTCAAATTAGCAAAACAGGTATTGGTGTTTGTTATGCAGCATTCCAGCATCATATTGGTTTTATTTTATTAGAAGCTTATTTAACTTAGATGGTGTACGGATCTACTACATCAGGGGGTGCCAAACTCAATTTCACTGAGGGACGCATTAGCACTGCGGTTGCCCTGGGGTGTGTGTGTGTGTGGCCAGACTGGGTGCAGCTTACTGGGTGGGCGTGGATGGAGTGGGCGTGGCCTACTGGGTGGGCGTGGCCAGTTCTACATCATTCACGTCAAGGGTGTCTATGGAGGCCTGGGTAGGAGTGGGACAGATCTGAGAGTCTCTGGCAGAAGGGGGTGGGACCGGGGCAAAAGGTATGGTCCACCGGGGCACGTGCCAAGATGGCCACCACAAAATTGTACATTGGCTCACGGCCGGCCTGGGCCAGGGCCAAGGCAGCGGGGGCCGTTCCCTCACTGTTTCCAGGATGGCTTTGCGGGCCACATGAAACCACTTCGCGGGCCACATCCGGCCCCTGGGCCTTGTGTTTGGCATGTCTGTACTACATCAAACAAAGTATCTTGTGAAAAACCGATACCCATAGGCACCATTACAGGTAGTCCTCAACTTATGACCATAATTGAGCCCAAAATTTGTTTCTAAGTTAAGTGAATTTTGCCCCATTTTACGACCTTTTTTGCCACAATTGTTAATCATTGCAGCTGTTAAGTTAGTCACACAGATGTTAAATGAATCTGGCTTCCCCATTGCCTTTGCTTGTGGATCACACAAACCCAGGACTCTGTAACAGTCATAAATATGAAGCAGCTCCCAAGCGGCCGAATTTTTTTTTTTTTTTTTTTTTTTAAATTTTATTGACAAAACAATTAAAACAAAAAGGGACATGACATGACGTTCCAGTATACATGATCCTAGTAATTCGTTCCTTATCATATTTAAAGTTCTAAATATACATCTCTCTACGTATTAACACATAATTTTATATACCACAAATTTAAACTTTAACTCAAAACCCGACCAGT